AGTATAACCAAAGCTTCATCCTCATCAGCATCAGCAACTACGATGATTGTTATCGTCACGGTCATCGTCATCATCATCATCCTTATCATCATCTCTTTCTTATTCTCTTATCCTTATCATCATTATCATCATGGTCGTCGTCATCTCTTATCACGCAGCATGGGTGACGCAGAGGATGCTGCGATGATAGTTATCATCACAGCCGTTAGTGATGCTAAGGCTGCTACGATGATAGTTATCATCCTTGTCATCATCTTTATCATCATCTGACCATCACCTAGCATCATCCAATATCTTATTATATATAGAAATCAAAAGGGACGTTAGACATCCTTGGCAATGCAAAGGATGCGATGATGATAGTTATCCAGGAACCAGTAGATATGCAGAGGATGTTGTGATGATAGTTGTCATGACGCGGATGATAACGATCATCACGCCCGTGCCATTATCATCATGGCCGTCGTCATTGCTTATAAGGCAGCATTGGTGATGCAGACGATGCTACGATGATCGTTATCATGACAGCCGCTGGTGATGCTAAGGATGCTACGATGATAGTTATCATCCTCGTCATCATCTTTCTCATCATCTGATCATCACCTAGCATCATCCAATACAATATCTGAGAAAATATATAGAATTCAAAAGGGACGTTAGACATCCTTGGCAATGCAAAGGATGCGATGATGATAGTTATCAAGGAACAAGTAGTGATGCAGAGGATGTTGTGATGATAGTTGTCATGACGCGGATGATAACCATCATCACGCCCCTATTATCATCATGGTCGTCGTCATCTCGTATCACGCAGCATTGGTGATGCAGAGGATGCTGCGATGATAGTTATCATCACAGCCGTTAGTGATGCTAAGGATGCTACGATGATAGCTATCATCCTCGTCATCATCTTTATCATCATCTGATCATCACCTAGCATCATCCAATATCTTATTATATATATAAATCAAAAGGGACGTTAGACATCCTTGGCAATGCAAAGGATGCGATGATGATAGTTATCCAGGAACCAGTAGTGATGCAGAGGATGTTGTGATGCTAGTTGTCATGACGCGGATGATAACGATCATCACGCCCCTATTATAATCATGGTCGTCGTCATCTCGTATCACGCAGCATTGGTGATGCAGGGGATGCTGCGATGATAGTTATCATCTCAGCCGTTAGTGATGCTAAGGATGCTACGATGATAGTTATCATCCTTGTCATCATCTTTCTCATCATCTGATCATCGCCTAGCATCATCTAATATCTTATTGTATATAGAAATCAAAAGGGACGTTAGACATCCTTGGCAATGCAAAGGATGCGATGATAGTTATCAAGGAACAAGTAGTGACGCAGAGGATGTTCATCACGCCCGTGCCATTATCATCATGGCCGTCGTCATCGCTTATCAGGCAGCATTGGTGATGCAGACGATGCTACGATGATCGTTATCATGACAGCCGTTGGTGATGCTAAGGATGCTACGATGATAGTTATCATCCTCGTCATCATCTTTCTCATCATCTGATCATCACCTAGCATCATCTAAAACCAGATTATATATAGAAATCAACAGGGACGTTAGACATCCTTGGCAATGCAGAGGATGCGATGATGATAGTTATCAAGGAACAAGTCGTGATGCAGAGGATGTTGTGATGATAGTTGTCATGACGCGGATGATAACGATCATCACGCCCCTACTATCATCATGGTCGTCGTCATCTCGTATCACGCAGCATTGGTGATGCAGAGGGTCCTGCGATGATAGTTATCATCACAGCCGTTAGTGATGCTAAGGATGCTACGACGATAGCTATCATCCTCGTCATCATCTTTATCATCATCTGATCATCACCTAGCATCATCCAATACAATATCTGAGAAAATATATAGAAATCAAAAGGGAGGTTAGACATCCTTGGCAATGCAAAGGATGCGATGATGATAGTTATCCAGGAACCAGTAGTGATGCAGAGGATGTTGTGATGCTAGTTGTCATGACGCGGATGATAACGATCATCACCCCCTATTATCATCATGGTCGTCGTCATCTCGTATCACGCAGCATTGGTGATGCAGGGGATGCTGCGATGATAGTTATCATCACAGCCGTTAGTGATGCTAAGGATGCTACGATGATAGTTATCATCCTTGTCATCATCTTTATCATAATCTGATCATCGCCTAGCATCATCCAATATCTTATTGTATATAGAAATCAAAGGGGACGTTAGACATCCTTGGCAATGCAAAGGATGCGACGATGATAGTTATCAAGGAACAAGTAGTGATGCAGAGGATGTTGTGATGATAGTTGTCATGACGCGGATGATAACGATCATCACCCCCGTGCCATTGTCATCATGGTCGTCGTCATCTCTTATCACGCAGCATTGGTGATGCAGAGGATGCCGCGATGATAGTTATCATCACAGCCGTTAGTGCTGCTAAGGATGCTACGATGATAGTTATCATCCTTGTCATCATCTTTCTCATCATCTGATCATCACCTAGCATCATCTAATATCTTATTATATATAGAAATCAAAAGGGACGTTAGACATCCTTGGCAATGCAAAGGATGCGATGATGATAGTTATCCAGGAACCAGTAGAGATGCAGAGGATGTTGTGATGATAGGTGTCATGACGCGGATTCGGATGATAAAGATCATCACGCCCGTTGCATTATCATCATGGTCGTCGTCATCTCTTATCAGGCAGCATTGGTGATGCAGAGGATGCCTCGCCCCCGCCGGGATTCGAGCCCCGGGCCAGGGTGCTGCTGAGAGAGGCGCGGTTACCGACTGAGCTCTTTGGGGCGACAAGGCAGCCAGCCGAGCTTGTCATTAGAGACACAAGTGATGATGATGGATGACGATGATGCAGCCCAAAACAAAGTCTCCCACACCTCAAATTAAAAAAAATATGAATTTGAGGTGCTCTCCCTGACAAAAAGCTCGCCAGGAAAAAGAAACAAGGATGCCACTCCCACACCTCAAATTAAAAAATATTAATTTGAGGTGCTTTCCCTGACAAAAAGCTCGCTTGAAAAGAGACACAAGGATGCCACTGAACAATTGGGCAATGGATGACTGTCGTGATAACGATCATCGTAGAAAAGATGACATCGCGGAATCGGTGACTTGTGACGCTGAAACGACGACGCGTGCCGCAGACACAATGACCTCTGCCACACAAACGATGACATACCTCGCAGAACCGAGGAAACAGTCATCTGTCACAGAAACGATGACATTTTTGTCAGGGAAAGCACCTCAAATTAATATCTTTTTATTTGAGGTGTGGGAGTGGCATCCTTGTTTCTTTTTCCTGGTGAGTCTTTTGTCAGGGGGAGCACCTCAAATTAATATTTTTTAATTTGAGGTGTGGGAGACTTTGTTTTGGGCTGCATCATCGTCATCATCATCATCATCCTTCTCATCATCATACGGCCGGCTGAGTCACAATCAAGACCAGGTTAAAACATGCAAGTAACAATCAAAAGGGCAGCTGCGCCCATTGATTGGGGCTGTTTCCCGAACTTCCCTTTCCTAGGCCCAACAAGCCAGCCGATTCGTGCGCCGACAGCTACCCACGAAGGGGTCGGCGGCACAGGGCGGCAGCCCTTAAATTCAAGAGAGAAATGCAGTCCTTTCCCAGCTCTCGATAGTCGGTTGTCAATTCCTGCCAGCCCCAGATCTGGCAGTCATGCAAACAACGCATACAGGCTTTCCGTCCCAACTTGACCATCATGAGTTTTGAACCTCCCAACAGCTTGCATAGGTTGCAGGCCTCACCAGCTTCTATCCGTCTCCTCAGCTCTGACAGGCACGCGCACACCTACTCTACTGGAAAAATGCCGTCTAACGGCTTTGTGATGAAGGAGTTGTAGCCCCCGTCCTCTTCTGCCTAAAGTGTCAAAACACAAGCTTGCACAAAAGCTGTCACGCCATGGTCAAACTTTTTCAATACAGCAGCACTCACTGAGTCAGTCTCACTCACTCAATCTCTCGGCTCCTGGCATCCTGGAACACAATGTTCGGCTCTTCTGAATGATTCAGATACCTGAATAGCACCATGACCAAGCTTTGCTTACCTCTGCTTGATTCATGAGCGCAATGCAGTCAATATGGCAGAGCCACCATGACAAGTTGAGGTTGTTCATGCCTGTTGCAAGCACGCCGTAGACAACCTGCCAGAGTGCGGAAGCTCGACGAAATGCACTGTCCAGCAGCCGCATGAGGAAAGCCTTGCACTGATCCACTAATACGGATAGCTTCGCAATTTTTGTCCGGTTGTCAAGTGAGCTCAGCGACTGGACAAAATCACAGATGCATCCTGCCTCACCAGCTTGCGTCTGAGGAGTCCAGCCATCATCTTCAGTCAAGGCAGCAAAGAAGGACTTGACCTGCCCACTTGCCCTGTAGCGATGCCTGCATCGCAGGGTCAACCCTCAACAAATGATCCTGCTTAGGAAGCTTTCAATAGAAAATCGGGGCTTCTGTAACACACCGAACTCGGGCTTTCTTAGACTCAATCTGCATCCACCCAGGAGCACACCGCATGGCAGAAAGCACCGGCTGCAAGTATTGGCTATCAACGTGGGGGGCCCCATCCAAAGCTCCAAACCAGGTAAAACATTCATTTTTGTCAACCAACGTCAGGAAGGTCAAGAGTTTTGAATCCAGTGGCGCTCCTGCCTTGTCAAACACCCCTGAGGGCATGGCCTCAGTCGGCGAAAGAACCATGGCGCTGGCACTGTTCCTTCTCAGTCAAAGGTGCACTGTTGCTCGTTCACTCGGCAGCAAGACTTGCGGGTTGTATCCTAAAACCCGGGTCCGGTAGACGGCTTTCCCAGAACAGTGAGGGGAAATGCACCAAGCGAAAACCCGGGACCGGTAGACCGTTTTCCAAAAAACAGCTGAGGGGACATGAAAAAACCGCGCAAAGTGAATCGAGAAGATCCTTGAGGCCAGCGCCCTCAACTCGCGGGCCGAGCACACCACAAATCTCTCCTCGTAGCTCCGTACGTCCAAGGTTTGAAGTTGGTCTGGGGGTAGCCAATATGAACCGCAGCTCAAACGACAGGTGATCGCCCTCTCCCTCCCTCCCTCCCTCCCTCCCTCCCTCCTTCCCTCCCTCTCTCTCTCTCTCAACGAAACAAAACAAGCAGTCTCCTTTGCAGCCATGTGAGGATTGCAGATCGGGAAAGGATCGACTCCTGCTGGGATCGGCCTAGAGAAGAAGTGACCGCACTCTCCCCGTCTCTCAACCAGCTCGGCCGCCGGCCGGAAGGCGCGGACGCCCACCCCGGCGATGGGAGATGCGAAGAGCTCGACAAAGGCCTCGAGGCCCAAGGGCCCAAGGGCCGAAGGGCCACCTCCGGCACCTTTTTGAGGCTTGTTTTCGAAGGGGAAATGGAAGGAAACACACACACTGAAGGAAAGCTCCTCGAAAGGAGTAGCAGTAGCGGTCCTCTTTATCTTCCTTGCAGTGGTATCCAGCCGAGTATCGCACACACAGAGACAAACATTTTGAGGTGCCCCGATTTTGACACAAACCAAAGGAACCCCCAAAACGTAAGGCGGTCTTGGTCTCAGTTCAACCCTCGCAGTCTTCCCTGCTCTCTCCCTTTTCCTGCCCAATGCCTTGAACAAAGACTGGTCGGCCGTGATGGTTCCCGAAATAGGAATCCGTATGGCTTTCAAAGAAGGGATCCACAACCATCCCGGAAGGTCCAAAGGACCTCGAGAGACGATTTCCAGCGTACAGGAAAGCAGCATGGAAGCAACCACTTTCAAGGATTCACTGACGGACGCTGGCAAGGGATTTGCATATTTGCTTCTCTCCTGAATGGCTAGTGGTTTCCCAACCGTTGCCGTTGACAAAGACACATGATGAATGAAAGATGCTTTCTCAAGGTCTGGCTGCGTGCCAAAAACAAGTTGGACCACGTTCTCAGAAAACAGACACACACACACACACACCATGGTTAAAGCTTTGTTGTTCAAACATCCTCTTCTACACTTGTCATGGCTGGTTGTGTTGGCACATCTTGCCACTGACCCCGCGCAACTTGTCAATTTGTCGAATCCAGTGACCCCTTCGCCTCCCTGCCATTGTGTCCTCCAACGGGCCCAAAAGGTCTAGCTTTGAAACATACCCACTACTACTTTGGGGCTCTACTACTTTGGGGCTCATAGACTAACTCGGTGATTGCCCCCAACGGACAGGCTTCGTGTTTTGACCGTGTGGTACTATTCCCTTCTTTAGACAGACGTACAAACAACACGAAAGAGATAGACAAAGAAAACATGCAGCCTTTGAATCTAAACCATCGTACCCCACCTCTAAGCTCCTGGCTTCCGCTCTCAAATGATGCAGCAATCGTTTCTTGTCCTGCCCGTTGCATCGATGCGCCACAAGGGCGGCTGTACCATGTCAACTTTTGGTGAACTCCCTCGGCAAGGTTGTCCGCCGGTTTTGGCAACCGATCTCTGCGACTTTTTTCCACCACGCGTCATCTTCGGGGGCGCGCGTCGTGCTCCAGCAGCGACCTCATTGCCGTCACAGTACCGTTTCTGTATCGGTCATGGTCTCCATGCGCGTGCTAATACAGACACACACACACATCCATGTTAGGATTAGCACCATCCAAATTTGGCTATGCAAACTACCAATGATTTGGCTCTGGGTCAAAACCAATGGTACCATTTTGGGGTAGGTGCCCCACCCATTTTAGTCTATTTTGGTGCGGATTGGGATGTTCATTTTGATGATAGATCATGCTCAGCCTTGGGACCTGATCGGCAAAACAACAACCGATAAGCGCGTCGCAAAAACGCCTTGCCGCTTACCCGAGCTCTGCTTTGGCGATTGCTCCTGCACGGGCTCTTAACTTGTGAGTGCTCTCATACATGTTTGTGCTGCTTCAACATTCGCTCACACGGCTCCTGGGCTGAGACTTTGTCAAAAGACTTGAGCCTGTGACATACTCTCAGGGCAAGCCCAATGCACAGCTTGCTTTGCACTGCTGCGACACGAGCTTCTCTGCCCACTTGTGGCATCTCACGTTTCATTTGCTGTATTTCACCCAGGCACTCGAACAAACACGGGTCATCAAGCAAGGCTGCCCTCACCCCCGTATAGTGGACACTCAGGGCATCTCAGCGCCTCTTGTTGCAACCACCTGTTTTAGGGTGTACTGATTTTTGAGGGCTGGGCACTCCACAAAATCACCCCTACTCCCCACCAACACCTTTGGGTTTGCACAGAAATTAAAGGACAGGTTTCGTCTTGCAAACTTTCGGTGTTGATTTTTGCTTTGCGAACATCACCTCCAAAGTGGCTTCCCCCCTGCTCCAACTCTCCAACGCTCCAAGTCGTCCAATCGCCCCCGCCTTTTTTGGCCTCGGGTTTCTTCTTGGCCTCGGGTTTCTGACCCTTCTCCACCGCGTTCTCCGCCTGCTCCGCGGCATTTTGCTCC